TGGGATGAGATAAGAACCCACTATCTATTTTACTTTGGAATTTCCTTGGTTTTACCAGGTTAATGAGATCTTTGACATGATTTAAACATCTGGATTTGGGGTTCATGATTTTTGGGTTTTTTTCTTCTTAATATTAAAAAATGTTGTTTTTAATTATTTTAATGAAATAATGGTGATTCATTGTGTTAAGACTATGAACTATTAATAACCTAGGTTTTGGGGGGAAAATGTGAACATTTAAAAACCAATCTCTTTCTATATGTAGGCATTTCCTGTAAGGATAATATAAGGTTAAAACCCTTATGTCATTAATTTCATTCAAGAGAACACATTCCGTATTATGAAATTAATGATACACATTCAAATTTAATATTTAATACTGCATACAAATAAATATTAAGCATTTTTTTATTTTTGGCTGACTTAACCAGATTCTCTGTTAAACACATAATTTGTTTAATTTCTATAATTAATGCGTCTCCTAAATATAACTATTATGAGTCTTTGACTTAATCCATCAGTGTGACAACTAAATTAGACTAGATCAAATTCAGGTTCTACTTATTCCATTCATCATAACTTTTCTCTACAGCAAAGCAATAAAACAAGCAAGCTTGATCCTCCACACAACTAGTAGACATAGAAACCAAAGTTGATTTGATTTCATGGGTGTTTAGACCTTTCTATCCTTTCACCAAATGCATCCCTATCTGCTCACTGATGCCTGAATTTCCACAATTAGAATCATAGGATCATAGAATGTTCAAATTGGAAGGGAATTTAGAGCCCATCTAGTTCAATCCCCACATGTGTACAGATAAGGAAATGGAGTTCCTCGATAGGTAAAGTGACTTGACCAAAATGACAAAACTAGAAATGTGGTTTAAGGTTTTGTTCCTTTTAAAAAATATTCAATTAATCTTTTTAAAAGGTTTTTCTTAAAAAACTTGGGACATTCTAATTATCCAAAATATTTCCTAATTTCTAAGAAAGAAATGATACTTTACTTAATTGTCAATATTTTTGATGTTAGTTTAGGATGGATAACTCTGCAATATTTCAGTCCCAATGGGCTAAGACTTATACAAGTGATGAGAGGTGGACTTATAATATAATAAGTCTTAAGTAGGAGACATGATGAAATGGAGAGGCTAAAACCTCAACAAATTAGTATCACAATTCAAATGGGGGTGGGGCATTGTTAGGTAGGTAGGGATTAAAACAGCTCAGAATGAGTGGATTCTGCCTTGAGTACAAGCCTAACCAACCAGGTGCACAGAATTACACACACATATGCACACATAAGTTTTTATATGCATAATGTATGCGTGTGCATACACATGTGTATATATGCATCTGCAAATGTATATATACATAAATAAACATGCATTTATATGCATGTATGTTTCTCTTATAGAAGGCCTAGGCTGAAGTGCTACGTTTGAAACAAACTGTCTATGTGACTCCCAAGCAAGTTATTTAACTTCTAAGCAATTTAAGAAACTTTCTGAGACTGCAAGTAGCAGAGGACTTTCTAATCTTCATTGGCAGAGGGAATTCCCAGAGGGAAGAGGGAGTGCCCTATATCAATTAAATCAAAGATCCATTCCCTATCTCCCAACCTAAAATCTCTCTCTCTCTCTATCTCTTTCTCTGTCTGTCTCTCTGTCTCTGTCTCTTTCTCTGTGTCTCTCTAACTCTGTCTCTCTCACTGTCTCTTTCTGTCTGTCTCTGTCTCTGTCTCTCTCTCTCTATATGTATGTATATACACACACATGCATACACATAAGCATATGTGTATATATGTATGCGTGTATTCATACACACACATCCACACATATGATTTCTTTGGTGCAGTGTGGTAAGGAAATCCCTCTACCAAAAGATAAGGAAAATAATTTTCTTATAGAGTTGCCTGGGGCATTAACTTATTTGGGTTCACATAGCCAATGTGTATCAAAGTCAGCACCTAAAATCATACCTTAACAAGTCCAAAATCAGCCTGTCCTATTTCCACTAACTTGTATCTTCTTCTATACCCCCTATATATGTATATATATATATATATATATATATATATATATATATATATACACACACATACATACATACATTACCAAGAAATTCTTCATTAGCAAGAAATCTCCTTCAGATCTGTCAATGATTTGGACTTTCAACAAGAGATGTCCAACTTCATTTTGTGGCTGAAACCTGAACCTGTCCAGACTGAAAACTATGAACTAGCCTCTTGAGTACAGACCTGTCATTTATTTTGAAATTCTTGTCTTTATCCGAGATATATGTAGCTTTATCTTTGACAATGATCACAATTATAATTGAACACTATCTACTAGTCTAGGCCTCTGTCCCCCACCCCATATACCCACCCTACCCAAGTCATAGTCTATGAATTCAGGCCAAGAAAGAGCAGTAAAAGCAAATGACAATTTGTATTTCAAAAAGATTTTCATTTTACAGAAGGATTTGCAGTTGGGATATTCTGGAGGGGGAAAGGTATTGCCCTAGTGCATTTAAACCATTATTGAATTTGTAACGATTCAAGCTATGCACAAATTTTCAGAAGTACACATTACATGAAATAAAGTATTCCTTCACTTTCAGATTTCTGTTATTACATGTTCATTTAGATTTATTATAGTAGTCTGAGTAACTAGATCCTTTAGCACTCAGTTTTGCACTTACATCATATATATCCCCTAACTTGGACTTGGGATGACGTTTTTTCTTTATACCTTTGCTCAGAAAAGAGCCAAGGCATTTTTGATTACCATGCATCAGACTGGTTATTGGCTATTATTGTTTCCTAGAAGTCTCTAGAATATACATGAGTTCAAGTACTGACTATGGAAATCCAATAATTTATTTGTTCTAAAAGCTTCCAGTGCCCTCTCTCTTCCCAAATGTCTATCATTGCAAAGAGGGAACACAAAAAGAGAGTTCTGCCTCTTTTATCTTCTTGTCTCTAGCTCTTTACATCCCCACCCAAGAGGCCTAATGAAAATTACTTAAAACTTGGGTTTTGATGCCTGACTAGGGTCTCCTAAAAGGGGGAGAATAGAAAGGTACTCAATATACATTGTAGATCACACATAGGACAGCTATTTATTTCCTCTAAAAAGGAATGTTAAAAGTGACTCTAAATAGGGACAAAAGAAATAGTAAACAGAAGAGGTTTACAAGCACATATTAGCAAGACAATTCATACTCTAGTTTTAAAACTACTATGGCTATATTTAGGGTGAATGAGACTTAAAGATAAGAACATGAACAAATTTATTGGGTTGCTGAATAGGAATTTTACACATCACCTTTGCTCTACATTGTCCAAACAATTTCCTCAAGGTTTATGTCTTCTGAAAAACTAGGTCACAAGCTGAGCTCATCCTCCAGCTGGTGATTTTCTTTTCTCTCAAGTGCTGTAGTGGATATAGAAAGAGTATGTCTCACAGCAACTGAGGACCAGGTATTCTTCATATCTCAAATTCATGAGATTGCTTCCAAGCCCAAACACATCCATTTAAGATCCTAGAGTTTAGAACTTATATGATTAGAGAATGAACACAAGAGGGAACAAGGAATCTGAGATTCAGGCTCAGACTTGGCTAGGCTGGATATGTGTCTTAGCTACATGTTCACAGGCAACATGTGACCAGGACAGGGAAGAGATACCAGTCCCCTTTCACCACTCTTTCAATGAAAGGTTGGAACCACCCTTACATTAGATGGGAAGAGAAGCAGACAAGGTACTTCTTATTAAAGACCCATTGAGTTGGCTCCTTTTCCTGCTCAGAAGCCAATAAGGGCGGGGGGAGATCCTCTGAAAGCACAAGTCTTTCACTTCTAATGTTCTCTGTCCCCCCACCCTCCTGCCCCAGTTCCCAAGATGTCAGAAATTCTTTGTCACATTCTCCCCTTTTGGTCTAGGTCCTATAGACCCATCCCATGAATGGAGCTTCTTTATATTTGCATGTATGTAAATATTTGCATGTTATTCCTATTTTTACTTGATACTACACCCAAAAGCATGTAAGTCACTTGAGAGCGGGGTCAATTTCATTTCTGTCTTTGTCTCCCCCACTTCAGACAATGCCTGGCACATAATAGGGGTTTAATAAATGCATGTAGATTAATTTTTAAAGTCTCTCTTATATACACAGTTTACCAGAGTTCTAAATTTCTGATGCCACAGTCCACAACTAAGGTGTCTGATGCAAAATAGTCATTCTCTGAACCTGTTATTCAGATTATGTTAGGTTTCTAGGATATCTCCAAAACCAACAATTCCTCAATTCATCTCATTTTACCTTTACAGTATTCTAAAATTAAACATGCAAAAGATATTTAATAAAATTTCAATATGCATTATGTTAAAATTTTCAATCTGGACACCATAGAATAGAGCAAATAAACAAATGCAGGGACTTTTGAAGGGAAACCAGCCACTTGTTATGAAATTCCAAGGAAAAAATAAGAGAAAAAGTGACTATAGAAAATCCCTGTGTTCACTCAGCCATTATTTCCAAATACACCAAGAGTGGGTATTACAATTTCAACTTTGTCTATACACATTTACTAACACTTGAGAAGTAGTCCACCCCTACTTTCAGTATAATTGATCAGAGGGGGCAGTATGATTCTGCAGTTAGGTGGTACAGTGGCTAGAGTGCTGGGCCTGGAGTCAAGAAGACTCCTCTTTCTGAGTTCAAATCCAGCCTCAGACACTTACTGGCTGTGTGTCCCAGAACTTATCCCTGTTTGCCTCAGTTTCCTCACTTGTAAAATGAGCTACAGAAGCAAATGGGAAACCACTGCAGTATCCTTGCCAAGAAAACCCTAAATGGGTTCAGGAAGAATCTGACATGACTGAGAAACAACTCAACAACATATTTGCTGACTGAACCAATGTGTAGCAAAACTGATCTTGATGGGATTGTCTTCAAAGTAGAGTCAGAATATTTCTCAACTCTGTTCTGTTTCAGCTGGCCTGGCCTAGCCCCACTGCTTGCCGGCTCCATGGACATGGCCCTATGAGGCTCCCAGCACCCCAGCAGGGCCTGGAAACCCACCAGCAGCAGCTGTGGATGCCCTTGTCCCACGCTGGGAGGCATCACCACCCAAAATGGAACAGCATCACCATGGGGCCCTGGAGGGACCACCTCTGGCCTCTCTTTCCACTCCTCCTCTCCTGGGCGGCAGGGAGCCCCAGGAACCAGCTGGTCACCCAGGCTGCACAGGGCTTTGTACACCAAGGGAAACAACTTGAAACAGCTGCAACCTGACCTATTCAATGGACACAGCTGATGCTGAAATGCAAAATGTATGCCCTGCAGAGTTTCACGAAGATAGCTTCAGTCTACCTTCTTCTACCTATAGGATTCTCAGGCCAACTCATTGTCCATCTGCAATATCTGTTCAAGGTATATGAATTGATATACAGATTCAATTGCCTGGCCATCCAACTGCATATCATATTCTGGACATTAGGCATTTTTCATCCTTTTTTCCTCCTGTGTGGAAGCTCCATAATATTCTGGGATTTGATGTGATCAACACAATATTATCCACAAACAGAAACATCAGAATACCTCAGTATCTATAGGTTTTTAATCCTACTTTTACTCTCTAGAAGACATCTTTCATGACACTGACATCTACCTTTGGTGAGCATCCCTCTTATGTCTTAGGCTTTTTTATGGTGGTCAGTGCTTTTTATGGTAGAAATAATTTTGTATTATCTTAACATACTTATGAGAGATTCCTCTTTGGAACAGAGCCCTTAAGTAGTGGTATTCTAATCTGTGAAGTCAAAAGCTTTTTTTTATTGTCCAACAAAAAAAATACAGTGGAATCTTGTCTTCTTTGTGCCATTCAAGCAAATGAGTGACTGTAAAGATATGGTATGCTGGAGGAAATATTTTATAAATGCTGACTGATTCATAGTTTTAAGGTTCCCTTGATACAGGTACAGATAATTTCTGCAAAGACCTTATAGCAGTAGAGTGTGCTTCTTCCACTTTTGGTGCATTTCATTATCCTTCCTCATAATTTGAATTGGGTTTTTATTTGGCATTGAGGGGGCCAAGGGTCCAGGCAGATATTGGGAGTGATGGTATTCATCATGGAGTGGAAACAGTAAAGAAGTAAGGAAAGGGGCACCTGGACTCCAAGGTCAAAGTCCACTTCAAAGTGACACAGTTTATCATGGAAGCAGGTGTCAAGCTAGAGATAGAATCAATTCCAATTGCCACAGCCAGCACCATTTACCATCAATCTTTCTGTGGCAGCAAATTAGATGCATATGACCCCTACCCCATAGCCATGTCAACCATTTACTTGGAAGGTAAAGTGGAGGAGCAACACCTCAGGACAAGAGACATCATCAATGTCTCTCAAAGGTATTTAAATCCCAAGAGTGAACCTTTGGAGTTAGACTTCTGGCTCTGGGAACTGAGGGACAACATTTTTCAATGTGAATTACTCATGTTGAGAGTTTTGTATTTCCAATTCTTCTTCCAGCATCCTCACAAATATCTGCTCCACTATTTTATTTCTTTGAAGAATTGGATGAACTGTCATATTTGGGTGAGGACACTCATCTCTCTGGCAGCCTGGGCACTGCTCTAAGACAGCTATCATGGAGTATTGTGCCTTCAATATCCAGCCCAGGACATAGCTGTAATAGTGCTCTATCTTGCCTTGCAGTGCTATAGAATAAAGGTGCTTTCCAATTCTGAGGCAGAAAAACCATGGTGGCGGATTTTAGTGAAGACCTTACTAAGCCAGTTATTGATAATATTGTGTCTGGTCTGATTCACATTTACACAATGGACACAAAAATCCCTTTAATTGTTCTAGAGCCATCCAAGGAGAAGCAAACAAACAAACAAAATTGTTATCAGAATCGGTCACAGGAAGCAGCTTTGCATTAACAAAGGGGGAAGAACTGAACTTGGGTTATTTTCTTATTGTTCTTTAGCATTTATGTGGTGGCACAGTAGAAAAGTGATGACAAATATTCTTCTTGAGTAGGTTTGCAGTTCATTGTGTTTGGATATGAATAGGTACATACTAAAAAAGGAATGTACTATGTAAGGTGCCTTTTTTATTTTGAAGATGAACCTTTTGAATTTGGTACACACTGTATTTAGGCATCTATTCATTAAAATAAAAGCCACAATAGAATACTCGATTGCATCCTTTGAGATATCTTTTTAAGCCATAGATAAGCTTAACTTTCAAACATAAGTGAACAATATTTTATGTCATGATAAAAGAAACAATTTTTATAAAAATGTGAAAATGGCATATATTTTAAGAGTTTTCAATGTTCTGTTAACCACATTAGGGATAGGAGGGTGATATTAGCAATATTTTTTTTCCATTTTGTGTTATCTTTCCCTCCCTGAAATATATTATAAAATACGATCAACTTTTCAACACAAATGTTCTTCCAGGAATCCTATATGTTCCAAATCCTAGAACACCTTGATCTCTGAAGAATCAAAGTTTTTCAGTAAATCTTTGGGTAAATGAGAGCTAAGTAGTGGGCAAAAGTATGCCTTTTTCCACTGATAATGATTTTGCACTGATGTGCAAGAAATGGGATAAAAGAGAAAAGTATGATGGATCATTCATGTAGTAAGCATCAGGGAATAACAGAAAGACAGTGTAGGTGATGGATTGGTACCCACAGAGAGATAGGCCTCTAGCATACTAGGTAACTATGCAGAGAATATGAGAGAGCAGGGAAAAGAATCATATAGGAAGATGGTAGAGATGGGTTACTATCAGCACCAGTAGAGGGAGTGCCCTCATGGATGAGATCATGGATTGATTAAGTGTTGGGAGAATAGCAAAACACTTTTATACTTAAGGAACCAGGGCCATATTGCAAACAGTTGTCCAAAAGAAACAATTTATCTTAAGATTTTCATTTATGTCACTTCCAAAACAAATTTACTCTTTACATATTAAACCTATTTGTTGGTTTCCTAATAAAATAATTTTTTCATGTAAAAAAAAAATCCACTGTTCTGTTTCCATCCATATATACAAAGCTTTAGAAAGCAACTAAAGGTATCTGTTAAGGAAAAGCTCTCTAGAATACTGATTCAGGAGGTAGCAAGGCCATATTGAAACATGAAACATTTAAACAAACTCACGGATGCTTTTAAAAATCTGGGAGGGTCATGGGAGACAACGTTTTAAAATGGAGACTGATATTCAAGGCTGCCAATATGCCTCTGTGATTACAATTTCTGTTAGATCTCCCTCCCACATCAAAAAACAGGATTTTTATCTGCTAAAGAAAGTGTCATTTTCATTTTATTCTCCTTTCTCACCAATTTTCTCCCTTTGACAATTAGTTTTTAAGGAAGTGCAAACTGCATGGGTAATTTGAATATAGGCCCTTATCTTCTCTTCCTTTCCCTTTTTCAAATAGAGAAACTGACAAGTGACACCTCAGTTTATCTAATATCAACAAACCTCTTTTGCCTGTTAAATAATATCACTTGACACCTTTCACAAACCCCTTTATATTAGCATGCAAATTGTTTTTTTTTCCAAACAGTTTGCATGGAAGATGTAGAAATTATTAGGTATAGGATTAGAAATTCTAATTAAGATGGAACCGAGCATTGGCAGCTGCTCAGCATTCACAATTTCTATAATCCAAAGGAATTGAAGTTTTAGAACTCTAGAGAACTATACTGAAGTAGATACCATTTTAACTGTCGTTGTTTTCATAGCATAGAGCCTGGCACATAAGAAGCATTTGGCAAATGCTTTTTGAGTGACTGTGACTATTATTTCTTGACAAAAATAATGATGCTATATCATTCCTACACATGGTCTTCTTATTAGACACCCTAATGCTTTGAAAAATGAACTTTTTTAATCTCTCCTTAATAAATGTACAACATTATCCACAATTTTACACATTAGGAAAATGAGGCCTCAAGAATTTTTGGCTGTGTCTATGCTGGTGTGAGTAGTGTATTCACTATCAGCAAAGAAAGCACCACGTATTTGAAGTACACACTCATCCATCAATTCTATTCAAATTAGATTTGTATGTATTACTACCACAATTGCACTAGGTTTTGATTATAGGTTCTCTTTCTGGAAGAAACAATGAGGAGAAGTTGAATTTTGAATTCAGTCATGTCCAAAAGAAATTGTTAGTTTATAGAGCCAATCACTGTCTTTAAAAGGAAAAAAAAATTTGTCAAAAAAGATGCTTGTAATAGACATAGCCTAAGTAATTTACCCAACATCAAATCATTTCATGAAAAGGAAAGTGCATTCAGAGATCCTGATTATCTTTTGTGGGCTTAAATCATTTTTGCCACCTTGCCTTTCTGAAAGTGACTGCAGCTGAAGTAAACTATATCTTCAATGATGGAGTGCAATGCTGTAACTTACTAAGCCTTAGGAATAAGCCTTAGCCACTATAACTTTAGTTCTTTTCTATGGTTAAATTACAGAACTAGAAACCAAAATGATTGATCTATGATCCTGGCTTTCTCATTGACTTGCTGTGTGACTTTGGAGAGCCTATTTATCTTTTCGTGTTTATTATTTTCAATGGAAGCTGTAATTTCTGCTGTCTGTTTGGGTCGCAAGGATGCTATGAAAGTTAGAAATAGCAGAAGAAAAAAGTTTTTGCCTTCTTGGCAAAAATAGGGTGCTATTATACATTTTTCTATTGCATTTGCCACCATCGTTGTCACAATTACTATTGTCAGATATGGGCAAGATCCAAATATCATGTTAATGCTGCTTTTTAATACTGTCACCAGAAGGGAGAAAGGAATTTGTAGAGCAAATGAGGGGGATGATGTGAGATAGGGGAAAGACCAAAGAATGTGATCCAAGAGAGATGAATAGTGTTCTTTATCAATCAACAAATATTTATTAAATACATACTATGTGCCAGGTGTTATGCTAGATGCTCAGAGACAAATAACTAGCTGCCATCCATCTGGCCTTAGGCAAATCACTGTACTTCTCTCCAATTCTTTATTTACAAAGTTAAAGAAGTTGCACTAAATAGTTGGTAAGTTTTTGAGGGCATTATCATCATTACTAGTATTTATGTAACACTATAAGGTTTGTAGATCACTTTAGCGACTCTAGGTGTCTGAGGCCAGATTTGAACTCAGAAAAATGAGTCTTCCTGACTCCAAATTTGGCACTCTATCTCCTACACCCCACCTAGCTGCTGTAGGTGCCATAGTGGAAGTTAATCAATAGTAAAGGGTCCAGTAGCCACCAGCAATATAAATTTTCATTTCTCTAGTTCTATACCCCAAGACTTTATTTAATCCATTAAGAAGCTGAAGTTTAATACTGCATTAATCATGTTGTAGAACCACAGAGTCTTTAGTAGCTTTTGAATGGTTTTTATTGAGAGTACCAAAAATAAAGTAGGAAAGCTTCTCTTTCCTCCTTCTGCTCCACCTTGTTGAAAACACATTAGTCCATCTTAGACAATCCTTATGGCTAACACAGGACCATTCTAAATACATTTTCTTCCTTAAAAAAAAAAGATCTAGTGACTTTTCACATGTCTTCTACTCAGGGAACAGTTTGCTTACCAAAAGAATTTATCAATCATAGGAATTATTTTCTATTTAAACAGTAAAGAAGTATACTTAAGTAATCCTTTTTCACACACACATACATGCATGCACATTGACAAGAAATCCTTTAAAATAATAATTTAACAAAAATGTTAAGTCTTATACCAGTTTGCCTTTGGGAGCACAGCTGGTTATACCACTTGTCTTTATCCAAAAAGAAAATGTGGGACAATGGTGTAAACAGAAAGCTGATGAAGACAGAAGAAATGTATTGGGGAGAAAGGTATTAAAGGCATGAGGCTATCTGCTATAATAATGCATTTAAACAATAAATTATATCCATTTTTAAAGGGTCTTATTTCAATTCAGACCACCAAACATTTCTTAACTGTGTACAAAACACAGCTTGTCCTTTACAAAGGCCTTTATAGTTAGTTGTAAAGGGGATTTTTGGGCAATCTGTCCACAGTAAAGATCATCTTCTAAATGCAATAGGTAAACAAGTAATCAACATTTTACAAGGGGGTTATATTCCAAACATTCATTTATAATTTGGTTGCTTGAAATCCAGCATGTATTTCTCCATAAATATAATGCTGAATATGTGGTTAGATTTCTAGGAGGCCAGCCCACAAAAGCCCATTTGACTCATTGTGTAGCTGAGTTTATGTTATACTAATAGTACTACATAATCTAAACAAAAACCTTTTGAATTTTCTATGGGTTTTCACTGATAATAATAAACAGCATGTAAAAAAGCTCCCTCATAAGCCTCCCCCTCATTTTCTCCCTTCCTCCCCTCATTCAATGACCCCACCCCCTCCTTTCTCTTTCCAATTAGCCCCTAGAGGATTATTGCACATGGCAGAACTTCTTAACTGAAATTCATAATTGTTCAAAAGAGTTTGAACTAAATATCTACCCTGGAGAGGAGGGTGGGAATGACGGAAAATAAGTGACTGAAAAATGTTTATTATACAGACTGAGACTGATAGTTGGATGGAAAACCCACAGAGTTTGCCCATCAGTATACATAACTTGAGCAGACGTGGTGCCAAGAATATGAACTAGGCACAGAAGTGGACAAATGGAGGAGAGTATACTAGATTGCCTTTGTGAAACAGTGCTTTTGATGATGCCAAATTTCTCTTTGAAATTGAGACCTAATAGTCTTCCAATAAATCCATCAGCAAGTATTTGTTAAATAGTTACTACTAAATGTTGTATGGGGTACTGGATATATAAAGACAAAATAATGAAATAATCCCTGCTCTCAAGGAGCTTACATTGTAATGGGAGAGACACCAGGTATATTAAGAGGCTTGTCTCCTCACCATCCCTCC